ACCCTACGGGGCGGTTTTACAGTGTCCAGTAGGGTCGCCATGATTTGGAATCGATGCGCGGCAACGGGTCTGTGACTGGTCTTTTGATTTTCTTAACAATGTCTTCCGCAGACATCTTACTTTTTTAACTTCATTTCAAAGTCAATTGCAGACATCAGGGAACTATTCCTGAAACACCGTGAACTAGAGAGCAATACATATTTGTGGTTTTAGTTTTTATGTAGAATTTAGCCAACCAGTTGCCCTCGAGTGGACTCTGACTCCTGGCGCCCCCGTGTGTGTCAGAGCAGAACTGCCTTCCATAGGGTTTGCAACGGCCGATTGGGTGGACTCGAACCTCCAACCTTCCGATTAGCAGCCAGGTGTGTTAACTATTTGTACCGCCCAGGGACTCTGGATAAAATTTATGTCAAGTGAGAAGTACAAGCCTGTTGGATGAGCCTTGTCGAATGCACACCCAGCGGTGTGTGTTATCCACGGCCCATCACGATATAGGACATGCCCACCACTCCACGTGTCGGTGTGCTATTGCTGCTGTAACAGATCATCACAGATTCTGTGGCTTAAACCAACTGAAACTTATTCTCTTACAGTTCTAGAGGTCAGCGGGGCTGGTTCCTTCTGGAGGCTGCAGAGAATCTCTTGCTTTTTTTTTTTGTTTATTTCAATTTATTCTATTTTCTTTTCTGTTACATATTTCATTTATTCTATTCTATGTACTTTACTTTATATTAGTTTATTTTATTTATCCAACTTTACTCATTTCATTTTATTATAATTTTATTTATTTATTTTATTATGTTTATTTTAATTAAATGTATTTATTTTATTTTATTTTATGATTTCAACTCATTTTATTTAATCTATTTTGTTTTAATTTAGCTAATTTAATTTATTTTACTTAATTATTTTATTTCATTTTATTCATTTTAACTGCGTGAATTTATTTTATATGTTTAATTTGATGTATTCTGATGTTTTATTGAAATTCTTTTACTTATTTAATTTTATTCATTTAATTTTATGTATTCTATTTTGTTTTATTTATTTCAACTTATTTTTAGATTTTATTTACTTTCTTTTTTATTTTTTGAATTGGCAAATACTCTCTTTCTCTCTCTTTTCTTCAAGGACCCTGGGCAGATTGCTAATCAAAGTATCTGTGGTGAAAAATTTTGGTGGGTCGGTCTTTGCCACAATTTCCATCTGTGGGCGGGTCCTGTGGGCAAGACTCCAGGGTAGCCTCTTGTCTCTAACCCATGTCCCCAGTGTCTCCACTCAGACAGGCTTCCTGACCTCACCAAAGTGCCGCAAGCCCCATCCAAGCTCCCGGGCTCTGATGGGAGAAAGAAAGGTCCCTACCTCCCCTGTCCCCCAGGGCCCTCACCTGCTAAGTGGGTTCATGAGCGGCCGCTGTCACAGAAGGGACAGGTGGGGACGTGTGCGGACGGGGTGGCACGAGTGTCCTGTGGCTGACGGCACAAATTGCCTAAACTCAGTGGCTCAAAACAGCACACATTCGTGACCTCACAAAGTCAGGAGTCCTACATGGCTCCCACGGGGCTGAAATCCGGGTGTCAGCTGGCTCCTTCCGGAGGCTCCAGAGGAGACCCGTCTCCGGCCTTTTCCAGCTTCTAGAGACCCCGCGTTCCTTGGCCCGTGGCCCCTTCCTGCGTCTTCAGAGGCAGCAGCGAGCATCTGCCAGTCTCTCCGATTCCGTCCTCACATCTCCTCCTCTGACTCCAACCCTCCTGCCTCCCTCTGATGAGGACCCTGTGGTCACATGGGCCCCCCCGGGTGATCCAGGATCATCTCCCGTCTCAAGACCCTTCATGTCATCCGAGCGCAGGGTCCCTTTGCCGTGTGAGGTGCCATGTCCACAGGTCTTGGGATTAGAACATAGACAGATATCTTTGAGGGCTGTTATCCGGCGACCCACACTCCACCAATCCCCTTATAATTCAAAGGGACACTCCCTGTCCCCCTACACAGCACTCCCTGCACCCCAGTTACCCAACCCCCCATCCTGATTTCAGCAGGAGACCCCAGCATGGGCCCATCCCTTCCTTGATCTGCCCTCCCTTGTTTCTTCCCAGGAGACCAGCTGTCACAGCCTCCAGGAAGCCCTCCCTGATACCCTTCCTCCCTCCTTCCTGCAGCCTGGGGTCCTCAAGTCTCCCACAGACCCCTGGGGACTTCCTCCCAGAGGGACCTCCCCCTGATTTCTCTAGGCCCCCAGCAAATCCCAAGGAGCCCTGGTGGCACAACCGTTAAGCGCCTATCAGTGCCTCAGGAGAAAGCCTGGCGATCTGCTCCTGTAAAGATTACAGTCTAGAAAACGCCATGGGGCAGTTCTTCTCCGTCACGTGAGTTGTCCTGAGTCAGAATTGTCTAGACAGCAACCAAGAAGACAACAACCAGCAAGCCCCACCCGGAGGGCTGGCTGACACGTTTGCGGATTCTGCGTGTTTATCCTAAGCTGCCCAGGGAGGCTGGGGACGTTTCCGCTGTTCAGCTCCTGGCCACCCAGCAGTTTCACTTCCGGCCACCAGAGTTAGGAGGAGGAGGAGAAAGTGAGCCGAGATGGCAGCAGAAAAGCAGGAACTCCTCCCGCCACCTCGGTGTGCCTGTTCCCTTAGGTGACTCCTTGGCCCCCCGAGACGGAGGGTCTGAACTGGGGGTGATTCTGTCCCCCCAGGGGACACTGGGTGATGTCTGGGGAATTTGCAGTTGGCACTACCTGGCATGGAGTGGGCGGAGGCCAAGCACGCTACTCAACACCCTACGGTGCGCAGGACGGCCTCACCCCAGAGAAGGATCAGACCCCCACGTCAGCAGGGCCGAGGGGGATGGATCCTGTGTTAATTATTTGGGAAAAAATTGATTTCGGTCCCTGCTCACACCGTACACCAGAATAAATCCTCCATAGGTCAGACGGTGTAAACCAGGGGGGCTCTCCAGCTCCTGTGATTTCCCTCCTCTCTCCTCCCCACTCAGTGTGTGGATTCAAACGTGGGCAGCGTCCTGGGACATCAGCAGGTCAGATGATTATGGGATGCAGAGTCTCTTGGGGATCACTGGAATCCCTTAACCCAAGGGACACTGGGTGATGTCTGGGGACATTTGTGGGTGCCATGACTTGGGGTGGATGCTGCTGGCATCAAGTGGTGGAAGCCAGGGATGCTGCTCAACAACCACAAAGCCCAGGACAGCCCCCCACCCCAACCAATAAATATGTAGCCCCAATTTCCAGAGTGGAAATTAATGTCTGCCCCAACAACTGAAAGCGGAAGTCTCAGTAATCCAGAGCCAGCATGGAGGAAGCATTTAGTCCTGCAGAAAAACTCAGGTCTGCTTTTGGCGTTTACCAGGCTTGGGGCGGCGGGGCCTTGGTTTGTCCCCCAGTACAGGCAGTATCCAGCATCCCCACTACTCCTACTTCCCTGACAAGAGGCAGCTGGCCACCCTCTTTCAAAAAACTGCTCCACAATTTCCTGTCCACAGCTGCCTTCACAGGCATCTCTTTTTCCAGCCCCCATGTTTTTTGTTTAAAGTTTACATACATTAATTTTATTTATTTTTAATAATTTATTTTTGTTGCTGTTGAGAACATACACAGCAAAAAAAAAACACAAACACCAATTCAACAGTTCCTACACGACGATTCAGTGACACTGATTACATTTTTCGAGTTGTGCAACCATTCTCACCCTCCTTTTGAGTTGTTCCTCCTCCCTTAACAGGAACTCACTATCCCCTAAATTTCAAGTTGCTGTTGTCCGTTTGATCCCATATAGACAGATCTTAAAAGACCACGATACTCAAGGCAGACATTCTTTCTTAGTTAAGATTTAAAGACTATTTCAGGGCAATAGTTTCGGCAGCCCCCATGTTTTTGCAAGCTGTTTCAGTTCGTTTTTCGCCAAGAAGCTACACGTATTTTTTTTTTCCCTCTACCCACAATTATTCCAAATTAAAGCGTTTTGGCCAGCAACTGCTTTCCAAGGCCTGGTAGTAGTGTCAAACGGGTACTGCGTAGTCTGGAGTGGGCTCGGGAGATTAGAAGTAAAAACGAGAGCCACTAATCGCAAAGACAAAAAAAAATCAGCGGAGGAATTGCTTCAGTTCCAGGAAACCGTGGGGATTCCTATTTGTGCTGAAGACACGGAGCGACTATCTGGAACTGATGTTTCCTTGGTACGTTCAAATTTAACTCATACATAAAATATTTTACCGAATTTAACCACAAGCTATAACATTGTTTGGCTACGTCCAAATTTTACTCCAAAAAGACATTTTAGTGAATTTAACTGCAAGGTGGAATCTTTTTGCTTGAGTACGTCCAAATTTTCAGTCCAAACACGATGTGCCCGAATTGAACCGAGTCCAAACTTGAGTTCACACGCCAAGTATTTTTTTCATTAAATTTGAGTATCTTTAAGTTGTAAATTGTAAGTTAGCTTGTTAGAAACTAAAAGGCCGAATCAAGAAAACAACGATGACCACCGATTATTACGAGATTATGACTGAAAACACGGGGGGAGGGGCGCCGGGACCCCCGATATTCGGGGACCTTTGTCGCCCCCGAGCCGCCCTGGGAAGGGGGTCCCGGTGGGTGAAGGGCAACGGGGATGACGGCTGGAAACGGAGTCACCACGAGGCCCCCAAAACAGGTCCAGCACGACGCCCTCGCCCCAAGGCCCGGCTGTTGGGGAGGCTGGGCGGGCGCGCGCACCCGGCGCCGCCGCGGCCCCTCCCCCAGTCTGCCCGCAGAGGGACGGTAGCGGGGGCGGGACTCGAAACGATCTGACCAATCCGCGACGCATTCCCACCCCGGCGCCCAGCCGGCCGCCAATCAGGCGCCGGAAGGGGGGGGGCACGCGCAGTTTTCTCGACGCCCCTGCGGCCCCACCCCCTCTGCGGGCGCATTCCCGGCAGCGTGGGGGCGTGGCCTGGGTGCGGCGTCTATAAATGCGGGCGACGGCGGCGGCGCCATTTTGCGAACGGCGAACAGCGGCGGCGGCGCGGAGAGGCGCAGCGGAGGTTTTGCTGGTTTCGGACCCCAGCGGCCGGATGGTGAAATCCTCCCTGCAGCGGATCCTCAACAGCCACTGCTTCGCCAGAGAGAAGGAAGGAAATAAAGCCAGCGCCACCGCCCACGCCAGCTGCGCCATGCCGCTCCTCAGCCTGCACGGCCGCGGCGGCCACAGCAGCGAGAGGTGAGCGCCCCGCCCCCGCCCGAAGCTTCCAGAAGCGCCGGCCGCGCGGGTCCGCGGGGGCTGCCCCGGGGCGCCCCATAAATACCGGGAGCGCTAGATCTGCCCCTTTGTCGAGGCCACAGTCGACGCGGGGGCGGTTCTCGGCCGGGGTAGGGCGGGCACCCACCCCCCTCGGGGCCGGGTGGGTGCAGGGTCCTGGGGGGTATCGAGGTCCCCGTGGGCCCGGCGGCGATCGAGGGGGTTCGCATCCATTGGTTTTCTTCGCGTGGGAGTCGGGTTTGGGGTGGGAACGGGTGCCGACCCCCGCTTGGCTGGGCCGGGTGGCGGGGACGGGTCCCTTCGAGATGGGAAACCGCGGTCACCCTGGGCCTGGCGGCGGATGTGGGGGGTCGCACCCACCGCCCTCTCTCCGCGTCGCGGGTCGGGTTTGGGGGGGCGGGCGCCGATCCCCATCGGGCTGGCTGGGGCGGCCACGGGCGGGTACTGGGCTTACCCCGGGTCTGGCGGGGGGCGGTTTTCTCTGGGCCGGCCCAGTAGGCGCTGGGCCTCGGGGTGACCCCTGGGCCTGGCTGCAGATTCGGGGAGTTGTCTCGCCTTTCGCCTCCGATTTGGGGCGGGGGCAGACGGTGGGGCCGGCGCCACGTCGCCGCCCCCACCGGGGCCGGCTGGGGGGCGCTTCCTCCCGGAGAGGCCGGGCGCCGGCAGGGCGCGAGAGGGTGCTGGGCGGTCAGATCCGAGGGCGCCTTCCCAGGTGCTTTCCAGAGCGGTGTCGGTCGGCACCGCCGGGGTGGGGGGCCGGGGTGGGGGCCGAGGCCTGGGACGGAGCCGTACAAAATGGAGGCGTCTCTGGGGCCTGTTTACACCGCGCAGCAAATGGCTGCTGGCGCTCCGGCTGCGCGATTGTGAAAACCTCCCCGGGGCGCTGGGCCATCTGCCGAGATGACGCAACCGGGCGGGGGAGGGGACAGGGCGCGGCCCGGCTGACACCCGCCCGTCCCCCGTGCCCGGCGGGACCGCTGGACGTGTGGCCTCGGGCCGTTGGAAGGAAACCGCGGGTGTTGGGTTTATTATTTGGAAGATTTAAAAAAACACGCTCCGAGTTTTTTCTTTGGTTGCGTTGCGAATGACAGCCGGCGACAGTTAGTCATCGAGTGGGTTCCTTAAAAGGACAGGTCACTGGTCTCTAAGAAAGAGTAAGAAATTCAGAGTTTCGGCATGGAGTGTAAAGCGGAAAAGGGAAGCGGACCTTGGCTAGAGGTAGAAATGAGAAGTAAAACTCGCTGACGCGTTGGGCGAAGCAAACGTGGGGCATGTTTTCAGACTGCTCAGGGGGAAGTCACAGCCCACGCTGAGGCCGGGCTGCTCTGGAGGCGGGGCCGGGCCCGGCGTCGAGCACTGCCACCCGGAGGAAGCGGCTTTAAGTGCCCGCTTGATGATGTGTAACTTCCTGGGGAGGCGTCCCGGGTGGCATGGATGGTCAAGTGCTGGATACTCGATGGTGACTAACGGCAGCAACTGCCTGGCGCCGGCTGGTGGCTTGGACCCGCCCCTGTGGGCGAGGATGTTGGTTTTGCCATCATGTCAACGTCAGCTTCTGGACACGGATGGGGAGGCTAGGCAGGGGCTGGGCAGCGGGCTCCTGAATGCCTTCGTGAGTCCGAGGGTCTTGGCAAGTAAGGGGCTCAACCAGGGGGTTCCCAGGTGTGACGGCCTGCTAATAGCCCTGTTTTCCTCCAGTTCCAGGGTCCCTCTCAATTGCTGTAGTAACCTGGGTCCAGGGCCTCGGTGGTGCTCCTGATGTCCCTCACCCACCCCTGAAGATCCCAGGTGGGCGAGGGAATAGTCAGAGGGATCACAATCTTTCAGCTAATTTATTTTACTCTGTAAGTATGCCGGGTCCCTGGGGTCCCTACGCCCCTTGGGCCAGGTGAGAGGGCTGACGTGTGGGTTTGTCCAGGAGGAACTCGCTCTCTGCTCCTCCTGTGTGCCAGAAGCTCCATGTCCACAGTGCGTGGTTCGCGTTAAATGTGTGATCCCTGGATAGTGGGGGAGCCGGAGCCCCCAGTCTTAGCGGTGCGCCAACTCCCGCTGTGCCAAGCTGCCTCCCCTCAGAGGCCATGGTACCCTGGCCTGGGGGACCACCACGGCATCCATGGTCTTCTGGGTGCTTCACTGGCTTTCCCAGACGGTCCTTGTGCAGCGGGGGGGGGGCGGGTTTCTCACCCGCCTGCTGGGTGCTCTGCTACCTTCTCCAGGATAATCGGCTGAATGTAACAGAGGAACTAGCGTCCAATGACAAGACGAGAATTCTTAACGTCCAGACCAGGCTCACCGAGGCCAAACACATCACCTGGAGAGCTGTGCTGAGCAGCAGCAGCCTCTACATCGAGATTCCAGGCGGTGCCCTGCCCGAGGGGAGCAAAGACAGGTGGGGGCTCCACTCCCCCGGGCTCTGAGGATGGATGAGGGGAGACCTCAGTCTGGAGGAGGCCAGCCATCATTATTTGGGGGTGGGGGTTCCCTTTTTAAGCTGTAGGCCAGTGGGTCTTAGCTGGGGCAATTCTGCCCCAGGGGACAGTGGGTGATGTGTGGGGACATTTGTGGTTGTCACATCAAGTGGGTGGGGCCAGGGATGTTCCTCAGCAGGCTCCAGTGCACAGGCCGGCCCCACGTCCACGGTGCTGAGGGACCCTGGCCTGGACCTAGGCTGGGGGCGCGGGGTGATTGGGGTGAGGGGGCAGGTCCTGACGCGGGCCCGGCTTCAGCTTCGCAGTTGTCCTTGAGTTTGCCGAGGAGCAGCTCCACGTGGACCACGTCTTCGTTTGCTTCCACAAGAACCGAGATGACAGAGGTAGGGGCCTCAGCCGCTGGCCTGCCGTGGTGAGGGGGCGTGGGGTGGCAGGGTCCCGCGGGCAGCCTGCAGCCCACCCCCTCTGGGGGCTCCAGCATCACCCTCGGCCCATCAGCCGGGCCCGGGGGCAGCACTGACGGCCGCATCTCCCCACAGCCGCATTGCTCCGTACCTTCAGCTTTCTGGGCTTTGAGATTGTGAGACCGGGGCATCCCCTTGTCCCCAAGAGACCCGACGCCTGCTTCATGGTCTACATGCTTGAGAGAGACTCCTCGGAGGAGGAGTAGCGGCCGCCCCTGCCCCGCCGTCTGCAGGAGGCCACCCACCCCATGGCTGGCTGTCCCCGTGACTGTGCTGTCCACTGTGTCCGCGGCGGGCGGGCGCAGAGTGTCAGGCTGTCCCTCTCTCCTGGGTGTGTCCGCATGTTGTAATTGTGCAAATAAACGCTCACTCCAAATTAGCAGTATATTTCTTGAAGTTTAATATTGTGTTTGTGATACTGAAGTATTTGCTTTAATTCTAAATAAAAGTTTATATTTTCCTTTTTTATTGCTGGTGTAAGATGATTCAGCTGTCCTTGGAGGAGGAGCTTCTTAGTGGGTCGAGGCGGTCAGGCCTCCGGCTGCAGCCTGGACACAGGTGTTAGTCCGCCCTCTGTTGCTCAAATGGAATAAAGACGATTCCACCTCCAGACCTGTGCTGCCTCTGCTCTTGGGGGCTGGGGTGGGGGGAGGGGGTAAACTGGGAGCCTTCCTGAAACCTGTGCAGGTGCTGGAGGGGAGCTTCTGGCCTGGGGTGGGTGCTTGTCCCCTGGGCTGGCATTCAGTGCTTCTCACGGAGGGGCGTGAAAGTGTTGAGGGCTTAAGTCTGCTGTGGGGGTCAGGAGCAGGCTGGCCTCGCCTCTGTGGGTACAGCAAGGGGCTCTGACCCGTACCTGGGCTGTTCCAGGGCCCTGGGGTCCCACCTCCCTCACCTCACCTTTCTCCCCTGGGGCAGCCCAGGCCTTCACCAGCCTGTGCCTTGCAGGCCGTCAGCACCACTGCCAGCCCCTTGCAACGGTGGGCTGGCCAAGTCCCTGCTCTTTGTTTTCTTTGTGGTGATCTGTTGGATTGAAACATTTTTTGCTGAGAAGATACACAGCGACCCAGCATACACCAACAGCTCCGTGTGCAGTTCGGTGACGTTGGTTCCGTTCAGGTTGGGCAGCCGTGCTCGCCCTTGCTCCGAGTTGGTCCTTCCCGTCAATGTACGCTCACTGCCTCGTCAATGTACGCTCACTGCCTCTTAAGCTTCCTGTCCTTTCACTTTGCTGTTGGCAGTGTGATCCCAAACAGTTCGCAATGCTCAAGGCAGACGCTCATTACTGATCAAACTTGTTTGGTTTTAAGAAGGGTTCAGAGTGTATATATATGTAGTTTTTTTAACTGTACTTTAGGTGGTTTACAGAGCAAACAATTTTCTCATTAAACAGTACACACACGGTTTTCTGCCATTGGTTGCCAACCCCCACGGCACGTCAACACTCCCCTTTTCGACCTCAGGTTCCCCATTACCAGCTTTCCTGTCTCCTGCCTTGTTGTCCTTGCTCGGGATATTTTTGGTTTAAGCTTTAAAGATTATTGCAGGGCAGTAGCTTCAGGGGTTCATCCAGCCTCCATGGCTCCACACATTCTGGATTCCAGGAGTATTTGGATTTCTGTTTTACATTTGCCCCCTTTTGGTCGCAAGTCTTCCCAGCTCTCTTGTCTCACCTCACCTGTTGAAATCCTTAGGGACCACGAAGGGCGTGGAGAGGGATCGCCTGGGTTCGGACCCAGGACGGGGACTGTGGAACCAGTGAACCGACTCACGGCCCCCCCGTGTGTGTCTGAGTCAAGCTGTGTTTCATAGGGTGCTTTTCTGGAAGTAGATCACCAGGCCTTTCTTCCCAGGTGCCTGTGGGTGGACACCTGTGCCTGTTCACTGTTTGCACACCTGGGTCCTCTTGGGGAGGATCCGGGGGCTGTCCTGGGTCAGGAGCACTCCTGGTGGGGAGCAAAAGTGGGGCATATGGCCACGGCAGGGGGAGGCTGGAACTAGGTCCGAAGTTCTGCTGGAACAAGGTCCTCGCCCTTTGCAGTTGTGATCCACGGGGTTGGGGTGCCCCCTGCCGGCCGCAGCTGGAAACTGCCTGAGCTTGATGTCCAGGCCTGGGACGACAGCCATTTTTACAGAGGAGAGAAGGGCCTCAGAGGAATTAGGTGGCCTAGTCACGGTGCCACAGCAGGTAACAGGCAGATGGAGGTACACGGGCTATCCAGCCACCTGAGTGACGCTGAGGCCAGGAGCTGGACACAGACATTCCCAGCCCATGTGGTCAGGGCGAGGGCAGAGAAAGGGGCATTGGAGTTGGGGTGTTGAAGGGTGAATAGGAGTGAAGCAGAGACAATAGATGGGAGATTATTTCCAATGGAAGAAACAACTTGGGTAAAGGCCGGGAGTTCACAAAGCATCTCCAAGGCTGAGCAGTGTTGCTGGAGAGGTTGGCCGGAGAGAGCTTGCAGAGCCTGAGGAGGGCACTAGACGGCCACGGGAGGTGTTTGAGCAGAAGAGGGGCCTGATCATATCTGGGGCTTAGAAAGATCCCCTGGGGGCCATCACAGTGGGGCTAGGATAGAGGGTATGACCGGAGGCTGGCACCAGGGGAGATGCCCCAGGCAAGGACAGCAGGGCCTTTCAGGCTCCTGTGTCCATTTTTCAGAGGTGTAAACCGAGACCTCGATCTCCTCCAAAGGCCCCCTGAAAAGCCTGGTCTGTGCCAGGCCCAGCCATTGCCCTGCCTGGGGGAACGGGTGGCTGGTGAGCAGATCAAGAGGTGAAGAAACACTCCCAGGCCAGCAAGGACCGGGGTCACCAGGAGAGGCTCATTTATTTGCTCGGAGGACTATATAAGGAGGTGGGATTTGAGCTGTCTGGAAGGGGGAATAGCCCCTGCAAAGTCTCGGAGGCCAAGCAGAATTTAGGGTGTCACAGGGGACCAGCAAGGAGGCTAGGGAGGGTGGAGAGAGGGTGCATGGTGGGGGTGGCAGGGCGTGTGGAATGATGAGAGGGTTTGGGGCTCCTCAGGGGGCCTGCCCTTCCCAGGAATCCCCCAGACAAGGGATTGGGGTGTCTACATCCTGAAGTAGACAGTGACATCACATCCGAGCTTGGAAGGGGCCTTGGCTGGAGGAAGGGGTCCCCCCACTCAGAGAGATGCTGCCGGGGGTGGGGGGTGTCCATGCCTGGAAAGAGGCAAGGGGTCCTGGCACCAGGTGTCAAAGGGCGCTGTCCACTCTCAGGACATGCTGGCCAGAGGCCCCCGCACCCTGGAAAGGGTGCCCCTGCCCTTTTGGGGAGGCCCTAAGCACCAGCACGGGAAAAGGCAGGTATTGGAGGGGTGGGGGCGTCCACACTCTCGGGAAGCCGCTGATCAGACCCCACACTGTCCACCAGCCCCCCCTGGAAGAGGACATTCATGCTGTTGTGGGGACCCCGGCCATCAGCCCCAGCACTGGAAAGGGGCGTCTGCTCTTGGACAGGCCCAGACCCACGTTCACCTTGGAGCAAGCCTGGGGTCTGCTTCTGGCTGGGGTCAGTCCCACAGCAGCGCCAGGGCGCGAGCCACGGAGCCCTCGGTGGCTTCAGCCAGGTACTCACAGCACAGCCAGTCCTCCAGGCCCGGCGCCTCGCCGCCCACGGCATATTCAGCCAGACGCAGGGCCAGCAGCGCGCGGCGGACCCGCAGCCAGGGCCC